CTTGGTGGCAAACAGAGGCCAACCCAGTCTTACCGTTAAATATGGTAGGAGGCATTTGGCCAACCTTAGTCCTTGCACCTTGTTGTCAGTGGAGTTTCACCTGCCTCTTCCAGTATGTTACTATGTCGCTACTATGGCAAAGCACACACAGATTTACATTAGCAGTATAACTACTACAGGGTACAGCAGTGCTTTGAAGATGCTCGTGGCAGTGAAGGACCAGCCAAAGAAATTTCCTACCAGTGGTGTTCTCCCACCATCTTAATTTGTTCCGTTACCTATTTTAAAACACTGTCATTGTGATATACAGTTACTAGGATTTTTCTAGCTTCTGCCTTAGCATTTTCTAGCTGCTGCTGTAAATTTCCATGCTCTAACATCTCTTCTACAAGTGACAAATCCAAAGGCCACAAGGTGTTGTTTCTTATTAGCAACTGGATAGTAAATACAGGTGGTTTATGCACAAAATCACAGCCTCTAATAATAGCTGTGTTGCAAGCACACATATTTGAATTGTTAACCACAATCTGGTTACAGAGACTTTTCAATTGCCCCCAAGTGATGTTTTACAAATCATGCCTTTTTCTCTTCCTCTGTCTCATTCTGCTTGGGGTCTTCAAGGTCAGCTCCTGCAGCTGAGGCATCGGGTCCTTTAACTTGTCTGTTCAGCTCATGGTATGGCTTGACAAACTTTGCAGGCAGCTGCCATGGACCTGTAGGTAGGAGGGCACAAGCATACCCCTTCCCCCAGGTTATCAGTTATACTGGCCCTTCCCATTTCTGTGGGCCCAAAGGACCACAATACCACACTTTAGCACGTTCTGAAGGTGGACTGTCAGAGCCAAAATGTCATTACAGTGCAGTGACAGGAGTATTCATGGAAGATTGAGTGCAATTTAAAAAATTCAATGTATAGATGGCATTGTCTAATTGTTCTTGAGGGACTATATTCCCCCTTTTTTGTTTTTGTAGCATGGATTTCAGAACAGCATGAGTTCATTCCACAATCCCCTGGCCTGTAGGGGAGTGGGGAATATCAGTGACATGTGTGACACCCCATTGCTGTAAAAATCGTGATAAAGCCAATGAATTATATGCAGGGCCATTACCCGTTTTCAACTGGGAAGGAACTCCTAAGGTACAAAGGCACGCGTTAAATGTTGGATAACATCACGAGCCTTCTTTCCTTTATGGGCAGAGGCTGAAATCATACGTGAAAATGTGTCAACAGACACATGAACATATTTAAAGGCACCAAAGGAAGCAATGTGTGTAACATCTATTTGCCAAATCTCATTCGCCTTTAAGCCATGAGGATTTAAACCCATGGCAAATGAGGACTGAGCTGTTGACTGACAGGGCAAGACCTGACAACTTGCTTTGCTGGAGAAGAAGAGAGGTTAAACTGTTTCTTTAAAGCAGAGTCATTCTGATGAAAAAAGGAAGGTGAAGCAGCTGCAGAAGTAAACTGCACAGTGTTAACAGTCAAGGAGTCTGCTATGTCATTACCTGCAGTTAAAGGGCGAGGCAGGTTGGAATGCGATCTAATATGACCAATAAAAACAGAATAATTCCTAATTTCCAAACAGTGTTTTAGCTTCAGCAAAATGTCAGAAAGTGCACAGTTATTGATTTCTTTTAAGACACTAAAAGGGAGGTGTGGTAACAATCAAACAACGTATTCTCAGTCACAAACAATATTTAAGGATTCTGCAGGGAACAACTGTAGCCCATGTAAGACTGCAGCAATTTCAACAAGCTATGTAGAGCCATCCACATGTATAACAGAGGATTGCCAGGAATCATTTTCAAACCAAACAACAGCAGCTTTGCCAGTTTTTCCAGAACCATCAACAAAAATGGTTTTAGTATCCTGAATGGGTTGTGTTTGAATTACAAATAGCTCCTGTAGGTCAAAATCTGAAAAAGCTTTTAGCAATTTATGTTTCAGAGTACCATAATTATTTTTTTTCCTGTAAAGTCTACTAACACTATTTGGAAAGAAACAGACTGAGCAAAAAGGAACTGAAAGTCTGTTACAGTTAATGGTAAATACAATTCTGCAGGGTCACTGCCTGTTAAATGTTGAACCCTCGTAGGGCCTTTGGCGATTAAGTCAGCAATCATATCTAACAGTCCTGTCACAGTCTTTCTCTGGGTATGTGGTAAAAAATCCCATTCCAAAAAGTAAACAGAGTTACTGTCAATTTGACATATAACTCCTAATGGCCTTCGTTGCATATTAACAATGAGTAGAGAAATCGGCAAGTGTAAATGCACTTTATCTGCCTGTAGCCTCTCAATTTTTTGAGTCATTATATTCAAAGCTTCAGTAGCTTTAGGGGCAAGCTAGCAAGGAGAATTCACGTCTGAGTCCCCTTATAATAAATCAAAGAGTGGTTCAAGGTCGGCATTAGTAATACCCAACATAGGACGCACCCAATTAATAGTACCTAACAGCTTCTGTAAATCATTCTATTTTGTGATTTTGTTTGCCAATTTTAGCTTCTGAGACTTTACTGTTCTTTCAGTTAGCACCCACCCCAAATATTTCCAGGGTGGCATTCTTTGTATTTTTTCCTGGGCAATTTGTAGTCAAAACCAACATAAATTTTCTGTTAAATGATTAACAGTAGTTTCTAAATATTGTTCCATTTCTGCACAGACCAAAATGTCATCCATATAATGATAAATTATCGATTCAGGAAATGCACTCTTAGTTGGTGATATAGTTGTGGAAACTACTAGCTGACAGATTGCTGGACTGTTCTTCATTCCTCGTGGCAAAACAGTCCATTGATATCTTTGCATAGGAGCAGCACAGTTGACGGTGCTTGTTGCCAAATCCAACCCAGTGCTGCCTATTGTGGCAGCTGCAAGGTTGGAGATGGAGTGTTTGCTGCAAAAACCCTGTTGTTTTGAGGGGCACCGGGTTTCGCCGTGCTCCCCCTGGATTTTCCCAACAAAGGATTCCCATCCTTATCAAATTTATATTTACACTGATTGCTCCAGTGATATCCTTTCTTGCATCTGGGACAGAGTTGACATTTTCTTTCTGCTTTTGTTTCTTTTTGGGACACATTTTACTAATATATCCTTCCTGTCATATAATCATAGAAAAGTTAGGGCTGGAAAGGACCTTAAGATCATCAAGTTCCAACCCCCCTGCCATGGGCAGGGACACCTCACTCTAAACCATATCACCCAAGGCCTCGTCCAACCTGGCCTTGAACACTGCCAGGGATGGAGCATTCACAACCTCCTTGGGCAACCTATTCCAGTGCCTCACCACCCTAACAGGAAAGAATTTCCTTCTTATATCCAATTTAAACTTTCCCCGTTTAAGTTTTAACGCATTACCCCTTGTCCTATCACTACAGTCCCTAATGAAGATTCCATCCTCAGCATCCTTATATGCCCCCTTCAGATACTGGAAGGCTGCTATGAGGTCTCCACTCAGCCTTGTCTTCTCCAGGCTGAACAGTCCCTACTTTCTCAGCCGATCTTCATATGGGAGGTGCTCCAGTCCCCTGATCATTCTCGTGGCTTTCCTCTGGACTTGTTCCAACAGATCCATGTCTTTTTTATGTTGAGGACACCAGAACTGTACACAGTACTCCAAGTGAGGTCTCATGAGAGCAGAATAAAGGGGCAGGATCACCTCCTTCAACCTGCTGGTCATACTCCTTTTGATGCAGCCCAGGATACGGTTGGGTTTCTGGGCTGCAACCGCACACTGCTGGCTCATGTTCATTTTCTCATCCACCAGCACCCTCAAGTCCTTCTCCGCAGAGCTGCTCTGAATCTCTTATCTGCCCAGTCTGTAGCTGTGTCTGGGATTGCTCTGACCCAGGTGTAGGACCTTGCACTTGGCATGGTTAAACTTCATGAGGTTGGCATCAGCCCACCTCACAAGCGTGTCAAGGTCCCTCTGGGTGGCATTCCTTCCCTCCAGCGTATCAACCGAACCACACAGCTTGGTGTCATCGGCAAACTTGCTGAGGGCGCACTCAATCCCAATGTCCATGTCAGCGACGAAGATGTTAAACAAGACCGGTCCCAACACCGATCCCTGAGGGCCACCACTCGTTACAGGTCTCCAGCCGGACATTGAGCCATTGACCACAACTCTGTGTGCGGCCATTCAGCCAGTTCTTTATCCACCGAGTGGTCCATCCATCAAATTATAATCAAACATATTAGAAGCTTAGTTTTCTTAGTACTTTATAATCTTCTCAGGTCTATTCAGAAGCAGGAAGAACTTTTTCTTCATGCAAGCGTACTTTCTGTGATGGAACAAATATTTTACAAACAAGAAACCTTGCCCTTCGTTTCAGCTAAATGGGATATGTATTCTGAGATGAACACTTGTGATCAGCTTTACCCATCCTACCATGTATGTGTCAGTAGTGAAAGAACTATTCTCTTTCTGCTGACAGACCAGTCAGGCCTTCAGTCTATGAACTTCATTATTATCATGTTGCTGGGCCTCAAAACTGTGGTTGCGCTGAACTGTAACGTCTTTGTTTCTAGGAGTAATTAATTTTTTCAGGCCTTTATTTTTATTGGTGTAAAGCATTTCTTTTCCTACTGATGAATAAAAGATTAGATATTTTAGGACTATTTCTAATTTGATTTTACTGCTGTAGCTGCATTATATAGAAACATACTGAATCAATAATTTAACAAATTAAGATAGCTTGGGGAACATTGTACATTGTGTTTTGGGCATATCAAAGGAGAATGCATCTCCAACAGATTGTTGTTTTACTTCTCATATTTAAGGTTATTTTTATCGAAACAAACTGAAAAATATTAAATATATTTCTCTGATTTTTTCTTTGTTGTTTGTTTGTTAATATTTGTGAGGTATGATGTTCTGTTACATAAAAATTGAAAAAAATGTCAGGTACCTAGCAGCCTTAGTAAAATAGCTGTAGATGTATTTCAGTGTCCTGCCTCAATTAGAGCAATTTCATCATTTTTCCTATTTATAGTGATCAGAGCATGCATTGATCCTGATTGCAAAATATCATAGGTCTGATACTTCTTTTCTTTGGCTTTTGCAGGAAATGCAAGAGAATGTGAAAAAATGCAAAAACTTCTTAGCTACCCTTATAAAACTTGCTTCTCATAATTCACCATCTCCAGAAACATCCCATAATGTGAAAGCTCTAGTTCAAGATTTGTTGGTAAATAATTTGGTTATCTTTCATTTTGTCATTTATCTATTAAGCTTGTTATTTATTCAGAAAAAGATAGTAAAATACAGGATTTTTCCTTGAGGACTCACTAAGTTTCTTTTCCTCCAAACCATAGTCTTTTCTTAAACACTAAGAAGCTATTTAATGTTTTAACCACAGATTGAATGTAGATGCATGCCTCCACAATGTGATTTAGAGTTTTTAGGGCTGAAGGAAAAGTGTTTTGCTAAGCTGTTGAGTCCAGGCAGTTCTGCAGACAGGTGCCCCTGCATGGAGCCTTAACTGTAAGTGGATTTCAAGAGGCAAAGTTGTGTTTCAGCTAGACAGAGTCCTTGGGCCCAGAAAAAAATATGACTTACAGTAGTCTCCAGTGCAATATGTGTTTCAGTGAATTGTATAAGTGAGTTGCACACAGATGTTACTGTAGAGCGGAACAAAATGGTCAAGCTTCTTAAAAAGATTAAATGTAGTCTATGAAGAACTTAGATTTAAAAGCAGTTGATACATATTTTTTTGAATTGATTGACAAAGAAACCTGTGTATTTAGACAAGCCTAAGACTTTTTTCAAGTAGGTGCCACATTCAGTGGTTCCTGTAAAAACTTGTTTTAATTTTTGAAAACTAAGATTAGTTAAGTAAAGGTAATGACTTAAAATATTTTAAACAAAGTAATGAGATATATATATTTATATATATAAAAATAAATAAATTTATTGAAGGTTGGTTTTGTTCTTGTTCTATATCAGTCCAGAAAAGCTAATCAGTGTATTTATTGCAACCTAAGATTGTAACTGTCCTGGGTTCAAACCATGACAGTAACTAATGATACTTTAGAAGTATTATAAAATACACCTGAGTTAGAGTTCTTCTGTATTAGCTACTAAACAAACTACTGAATATATATTTCATATATTTAAGTGTATATTTTGTGAGTATATACATATATATGCATACATTTATGTAGGTGGAAATTATATATACTTATATGTATACTTTTATATATGCAGATGCTTTACATATATAGCTTTATGTATATGTATACACATATTCTACTAAGTTAAACTGAACCTTCAAAATTGGTTTTGGAATTAAGTAAAGGTAATTTTTGTATTACAAGGGCTGGGGAATTTTATAATGGCTTGTAAGCTTACTTCAACAGCCTGTTTTTTTTAATCAATTTTTTAATTTTTTAAAAAGAATGCACTATGTAAATGTTAGCATGAGAATGGAATCCTGAAAAAAGACTTAAGTGTGTGTGGGATCTCATTGTGTCTTGAATTGTGCATGCCTGAGGGAGCTCCCTAAATTCTGAGGGGCTTCTTACATATACATATTAGCTTTTGACAGAAGGATTTTATAGATACAGAGGAGTTGAGGGACTTCAGCTTTGAAAGTTTTTCTTGATATGGTAGCCTATTTAGCTAGAGATATATACATATACATTATCTAGAAAAAAAACAACAAAACAGCTCATCTGAGTTGTTGATGCTTTTTCTTCTTCCCCCTGAAGGATGCAAAGATTGATCCAGAAGAATTTACAGGCCGCCTTCAATCAGAACTCAGGTCATCTCCTCAGCCGTATCTCATACCTTTCCTTAAGGTAATGCAAATATTGCTTATATAAATCTATTTCAATGAAAATGTCAATGCATTAAGTTTTAGAATATACTTTTAAAAAATATGTTTAAAATAATTGATTAGCTGATCCTGCTTGTAATCTGGAACTAATCTAAGATCGAAATTCTGATGTAATACCAAATGGATTTATTGTTGGGTCCTAAGTTAGTATATGTGGGGGTAAATTTAACTTTTAATTGGTTCTTGTACATAAGCTACAATAGCATCCATATGCAAGATTATATGCAAATGTACAGAGTGTGTTTAATTATGCCCCAACAATACCACAACTGTAATTCTAAAAGCGTTTTTCTTCTAGTCCAAAACTTCTCAGTTTAGGGCAGATCTCCTCTCTTCTCTCCCTGCAGCTTTTCAGATCTCTCTCCCTGTGCTTATGTTTTTTCAAGTATCATTAACCCTTATTTGTGCCTTTTCCTGCTTTTACACTGCAGTCACTTATGGAATCATGATAAGTTTTATCTTGTTTCCTTTCTTTGAAGTCCTTTCTTGGCAACAGGCACTAAGTTTTTAAATAAATATTAGAAGTTTAGAAAGAACTGTAGCTTGGGTTAGATGCACTTGCATTCTACAACTGCCTGGGGCGAGCAATTCGAAAGAACTCTACTACCACTTAAAATAGTAAAAAGTTTGTGAAGGTACAGTATAGCCTTTTAGAACTGTTTTTTTTGTTGAACTGGTCTGAACATGAAACATACAATAGTACATTTTTTCTAATCCAGTCAGAATACATTAGATCAGTAAAAATGCAGTAAACAGCTATTGATGTAAGGCACCAGCAGCTGAATCATCTTGTTCTAGGTACTGGAGGCATGTCAGAAGTAAATTGGTGCAGCTTACTACTTCCAGCATGCAATGGGAATAGGGCTGTTCTATGGTTTTGCTGCTTTTATTTCCAGTTGTTACCCTTCCAAAGACCTAAGCTACAAGTTCTAGATAGTTTTGAGGAGGGGAGTGTTCTATTTTATGGCTATGGTGGAGTTAGGCCACATCAAAATCTACAGGGTTGCTAAATCCAAATTGAAAGCTTATTAAAAAGATAAATGGATTCTTGCCTCTTACAAGATATGTTCAATCTTATTTCTTTTTATTGAATAGGCTGATAGAAAAATGGGAAAGCAAGCTGCATTCTTTTAATTATGTTTACAGCAAATTTAAATGTGTTTTTTTGTCAACCTGCTAAATTTTGTTATTACATAAACTTTCTTCTGTTTTTAGAAAAGTCTACCTGCACTGAGACAATCTTTACTGAACAGTCAACATTCAGTTTTGCAAGGACAGCCATCTCAGCAGTCACTTCAACAAACCAGGCTATCACAAGTTATACCTCAATCTGCCTCTGGAAGCATTTCCTCTGTTGTCACCAAACAGACAATAGGAATAAGGCAACCAAACAACATTTGCACAGTCTCTGTATCAAATACAGTGCAGCCTCCTCAGGTTAAGTTGGTACAATCCAATCAGAGTTCTCAACTGGTAGGTACTGTAGTATAAAAGAATTTCTTAAACTGAATAGCAGTTTTCAATGTTATTGCAGCTTGTTTGGGAAAATACTTTTTTGTTTGTATCATACTGTTGTGGCTTAAGTCCAGCCAGTAACTCAGAACCATGCAGCCACTCGTTCACTCCCCCCACTTCTTCCTTCCCCTGCTCCCAGAGGGATGGGGAAGAGAATTGAAAGAATGTATCTCCCATGGGTTGAGATAAGAACAGTCCAGTAACTAGGGTATAATACAAAACTACTACTACTACCACCAGTAATAATAAAGGTAAGGGAAATAACAAAGGGAGAGAATACAATTGCTCACTGCCTGCTGACCGATACCCAGCCTGACCCAAGCAGCAATCTGTGCCTTCTGGGTAACTCCCCCCAGTTTATATACTGGGCATGATGTGCTGTGGTATGGAAGACCCTTTTGGGTTGTTTGGGTCAGGTGTCCTGTCTCTGCTTCCTCCCGGCTTCCTGTGCCTTTTCTCCCTGGCAGAGCATGAGACTGAAAAAGTCCTTGATTGGGGTAAGAATTACTTAGCAATAACCAAAAGCATTGGTGTGTTATCAGCACTGTTCCCAGTCTAAAGTGAAAAACATAGCACTGCTGCAGCTACTAAGAAGGAGGAAATGTCTGCTACTGCTGAACCTAGGACACATATTCTGTGATATATAGTAGTACCTCATTTTATGTCAGTTAACATGTATGTTCAACCATTAGTTTAGGCAACATTACTGACATAGACTAAATTTAAGAAACTACACTCTTGGCCTTTTTGACTGGAATACAGTGATTGTTATGAGCACAGTAGAATGTGAGCTAATTACAAATGTAGAACAGAAAGTTTTTCAATACTTAGACAAGTGTATAATTTTTAGTATGTCATTAGATATGCTGCTTTGCTCAGATTCATCTGTATAAAAATTAGTTCTTATTTTAAACTCTTCTACATATAGTTAGAAAATCTTGTAGAAGAATAGCTGTACTGTACCATAATGTTTTGTTTGGAAAAAGTTCCATAATTTGCTATGAAATATCATTGCTGTGTATACTGGAGAATTATGCGCTTAGACTCCTTAATTTCAAAGGCACTATCAATAAGGCAACTTTACAGCCAGTTACTCATTGAGTATTGGTATGGCTGCTGTTACATAGGATCTTGCACGTGTGTTTATAGTTGTAATTATAGGTTTACAGGATTAGGATTTTTATTAGGTATATAGTGAACTGGCTGAAGGAGAGAAGCCAGAGAGTTGTAGTCTATGGGGCGGAGTCTAGTTGGAGGCCTGTATCTAGTGGAGTGCCTCAAGGGTCGGTACTGGGACCAGTATTATTTAATATATTCATCAACAATTTAGATGAGGGAATTGAGTGTACTATCAGCAAGTTTGCTGATGACACTAAGCTTGGAGGAGTGGCCGACACGCCAGAAGGCTGTGCTGCCATTCAGCGAGACCTGGACAGGCTGGAGAGTTGGGTGGGGAATAACTTGATGAAATATAACAAGGGAAAGCGTAGAGTCCTGCATCTGGGCAGGAACAACCCCAGGTTCCAGTATAGATTGGGGAATGACCTGTTAGAGAGCAGTGTAGGGGAGAGGGACCTGGGGGTCCTGGTGTACGACAGGGTGACCATGAGCCGACACTGTGCCCTTGTGGCCAAGAAGGCCAATGGCATCCTGGGTTGTATTAGAAGGGGGGTGGTTAGTAGGTCGAGAGAGGTCCTCCTTCCCCTCTACTCAGCCCTGGTGAGACCTCATCTGGAATATTGTGTCCAGTTCTGGGCCCCTCAGTTTAAGAAGGACAGGGACCTGCTGGAGAGAGTCCAGCGCAGGGCAACTAAGATGATTAAGGGAGTGGAGCATCTCCCTTATGAGGAAAGACTGAGGGAGCTGGGTCTCTATAGTTTGGAGAAGAGGAGATTGAGGGGTGACCTTATTAGTGCATATAAATATATAAAGGGGGAGTGTCACGAGGATGGAGCCAGGCTCTTCTCAGTGGCAAACAATGATAGGACAAGGGGCAATGGGTGCAAACTGGAACACAAGAGGTTCCACTTAAACTTGAGAAGAAACTTCTTCTCAGTGAGGGTGACAGAACACTGGAACAGGCTGCCCAGGGAGGTTGTGGAGTCTCCTTCTCTGGAGACACTCAAAACCCGCCTGGACACGTTCCTGTGTAACCTTATCTAGGTGTTCCTGCTCCGGCAGGGGGATTGGACTAGATGATCTTTTGAGGTCCCTTCCAATCTCTAACATACTGTGATACTGTGATATAGGTTTAGGATTTTTATGAGGCCTTGAGTTTACACAGGCATTATTATCCTTCAGGCAAAGACATAAAAGTTTCTATGTGGTTTCTGTGTATGTATGAGTGAAGTACTTGACTTAGGTTTCAAAATCAAATTGACAAGTTCAGGAAGGTGTATCATATTGGTAAAAATTTATATTGTGATGATTCAGAAATGCACATATGATAATGTAAAATCTTACAATGACCTGTCCTTGAGTTTATAGGCACTATAAAGGATGTAAATAATTTGTAGGGTGTATTTAGAGAGAATATTTCCTTTGCTTTCATTTGTAAGTGGCAATGCACAATTTGAAAATGTCTGAGCCATCGGAACCAAGTCTTTGAACCTTACAAATACTTACAAGCTAAATTACAAACTTAAAAAAAATAATAGAATTTTGCCATCCTTTAGTGAGCATGGTTTTAATGTGTAAGAACATCTTAGGTGCTAAGTCTTCTGACTCTGGTTTTTGTAATACACACAGACATTTGGATATTTTGCACCTTAACTTGGCTGCTTTCTGTTCAGCCACTTGCAGTCTTTCTTTTCCTAAGGTGGATTCTCCCCACTCCTTGTGGACTGTTGCATTAATTAGAATCATAGAATCATAGAATAGTTAGGGTTGGAAAGGACCTTAAGATCATCAAGTTCCAACCCCCCTGCCATGGGCAAGGACACCTCGCTCTAAACCATATCACCCAAGGCCTCATCCAACCTGGCCTTGAACACTGCCAGGGATGGAGCATTCACAACCTCCTTGGGCAACCTATTCCAGTGCCTCACCACCCAAACAGGAAAGAATTTCCTCCTTATATCCAGTCTAAACTTCCCCTGTTTAAGTTTTAACCCAATACCCCTTGTCCTATCACTACAGTCCCTAACGAAGAGTCCATCCCCAGCATCCCTATAGGCCCCCTTCAGATACTGGAAGGCTGCTATGAGGTCTCCACTCAGCCTTCTCTTTTCCAGGCTGAACAGTTCCAATAACTTTGGTTCTTCGAGATAGGGAGCAGGAACTGGTTGCAATTGCAGGCAGCAAATGTAAAAATTACTCCATTTCCTGGGGAAGGCAAATTTCTGACAGCAGCTGACAGGTTTCTTAAAAGTATAAATGTTCATGGCCAATAAGTGTAGCTTTATCTCATGCAACAGTCTTGGGACTAACCTACTTCCAGGTAGCACAGTTTTTTCCAGTGTTCTGCAACCCACTTGAAACACTCCTCTGCCTATTAGCCAACTAGTGCCCCACCTTTTGACAAACACTGACATATAATGAAAATGTCTTAGTAAGTCTGCAGGAATTCTTACTCTTATGATTATAGTTTTTGTGGAATATTTTCTGAATGGGATAAAGCCAAATTTTTGGGGGAGAGAATTTTGGAGTCCGTCTCTCTCACATGTTGGTGCTTACTCAAAGCAAGCAATTATGATGTTAACCTCAGTAGAGATTAGCAATATGAAGAGTTGCTCTGTAGTTTTGACATACCTGTGTGTCGTGGTTTAAGCCCAGCTGGTAACTCAGAACCACGCAGCTGCTCACTCACTCCCCCCCTTACCCCCCACCCACTCTGGGTGGGATGGGGAGGAGAAGCGAATGAATGTAAATCCCATGGGTTAAGATGAGAACAGTCCAGTAACTAAAGTATAATATAAAACTACTACTACTAATAATAATAACAGAAGTGACAAGGCAAGAGAATATAAAACTAAAAGGGAAGGGAAAAAATACCCAATAAACACAAGTGATGCATAATACAACTGCTCACCACCTGCCGACTGATACCCAGCCCGACTCAGTGATCTGCCCTTCTGGGTGACCCCCCCTAGTTTATATACTGGGCATGATGTGGTGTGGTATGGAAAACCCCTATAGCTAGTTTGGGCCAGGTGTCCTTTCTCTGCTTCCTCCTGTCTTCTTGTGCCCCTCCTCATTGGCAGAGCATGAGAGACTGAAAAGTCCTTGATTAGAGTAAGCATTACTTACAAACAACTAAGCATTGTTATCAGACTAAAGCTGAAACACAGCACTACACCAGCTACTAAGAAGGAGAAAAATAACTTACAGCTGAACCCAGGACAGTATCCACCCCTTATTCCATACCATACATGGTATGGAATATACCATGTATATTCATATACATGTATACATATACATTCATATACATGTATACATATACATACCATGTATATTCATATACATGTATATTCATATACTCATATCCCACATTTTACAATATACCATCACTTTTTGTCTTTTTGTCTCTTGGTACATATATATATATATACACACACACATATGCAAACACACATAGAGACAGATATCACTCCTTAATTCATGGGGCAGGAGAGGCTGTGTGTTGTGTTGGATTGTTGCCTGCTGATGACACCACTGAACTCATCTGGTCACTGCTGAGCTCGTTTGGTTTCATCAAAGTTCACTCTTTGTTAGGGTAATGATTGGAGGGAACTCAGGGTCAGTTGATGGTGGCCTGAGAACAGTTGTAGGAGAATCCTGCTGCTGCTGGCTTTTCCCATGACTGTTCTCCGGTGATGATCATGATGTCATATATAGAAGTGTTATATAGCAGGCAACAGCATATAATTGAGTTCATTGACTGTTTTACCCTAAAATCAAATCCCCTTGAGGTACACAACATATTTTCCCATCTCCCCACATTACCCTTCAAGTATATC